GGCGAGCGAGGGTACCCGGCGTACCCGAGAGCGGTTTGGGCCAAGAGCGAGCGAGCTCTCGCCTCTCCGTGCCGTGTTCTATAGCCGTTCTTGGCTACGCGGTGAAAGTCGCCGGCCTATTTGTTTCGTTACCGCGAACGAACGCACGCCTCCGCCTCACCTCGCCTCACCTCGCCTCGCCGTCGCCTCGCCGTTCCCCCCGTGGCTCTCGTGTAACTAACTTCTCCCTCTTCACCACCTCCTCCTCCTCTTCCTCCTCCTGCCCCCGCTGCCATAGTGCACATCGCGACGCACCGCGGCGACGTCACCGCAGGCGCAGGCCTAGTTTTCGAGTACGCGGCACCGATTACCCAAGGCGAAACCGAGAGAGGTTCCCCGACCCCCGGGTTTCAAGGTCGACGACGGACGTCCGCCGTGGACACCCCGGGAGACGTCCTGCGATCCGGACGATGAAGCGGATGGTCGTGATAGGATGTCCTCTTCAGGGTTCTTGGAGACGAATTAGGCGACGGGATACCGTTGAATGACCTTATGCCGGAGGGCTGTAGCTGAAAAAATGTGGTTTTAATGGCTGGTTTTGATGGATATTTGAAGCGACTTGCTTTGGTATGGGGGAGTATTTGAGGTTTGTTACCGTGTCCTCTTGCGCTCCTGTCGGCTGGAACGGCGACCTTGGCAAGGAAGGCCCATCGTGAAGTGAAGGTACAGATTTCGGATGCTTTGCGGTTTTGCTAAGTGGATGCAGCGTGGCAAGGATGGCGTGGTACTCCTTAAGCAGTGAGGCAAGGTGATTCATGCTGTCCTTTAAAAGTTAGTCGGATCTGCTTGGACGTTAGAGGCTCGTCTGGCTTGTGCTATTTCGTGTTTCGTAAGCGTCAAGTGGAATATGGTCGTTATAATAGGCCCTGCAAGAGTAGAAGAGAAGCGGTGTCTTCCAGACGAAGGAGAGATAGATTGTAAATGATCGGACACGATGCTCGAACCTGTGCAACCGTCGCGGTGCCGGTTCACCCTTGGCTAGTTTCGATGGGTCCCCAGTGACTCACGTTTCCCTCCTTGCGAAACCGTGATTAGAGACTTCTCGGGCTCGAGTCAAGAAACTCGACGCCCGACTAAATACATAATTAGAGAATAACGCGGATGGAACGCAGATTAAATTGGCTCGCCGCTGCCTCGCTCCTAAACTAATCCCGAAACCGTTGCGAAATCCTCGTCAGTCTCTTCCTCGGCGTCAAAACTCGGAACCAGTTTCCTATTAAGAATAATTATGAAGAGCGCCGCGACGGTCCGCGAAGGAATTCGAGAAATTTGGCAGGGCCGGTGACGGGACTTCGCGCGAGACGCTCTCCGCGAAGACGTGCACCGTGAGTCAACCCGTCGGAGGGACAGAGACAGCGCCGGAGAGACAGACCGTGGCTACCGGGCGATTTTTATCGCCCTTGGCACGAATCGGCAAAGGCGATTGCATTTCGAGAAGGAGATCATACAAGCATAATCCTTATTAACCCTTTGAGGCTCGGTTTCTACTCGAATGTTGCTAATTAATATCAGTGTTAACATTGAAAACGAACCGTCGGATAAACTACTGAAATGTTCAATCGTGAGTCAGCCTTTGAGTCAATATTTTTGTAGTGTAATTCACCGGGTTGCATAAATATTTTGATTATAGAATAATTAATTTAAGGATGACTCGGTTTTGATCCTTAAAAGGTCAATGGAATGCGTCCAGTTTTCTTGCTCGATCCCTTCCAGTGTCCTCTTCATCTTTTCTGTTATACATCTGTTAAACATTCTTCGATCCTCGCAGGGAACAACGATATTCTAGCTAGCTCCGTTTCACCTGAAATGTTAGTGACAGTTACTGCACGAACCAATGGAAAGAGAAGAACATGGAAGTAAAACAAATTGTTGCACCTGTATTTCACTTTAAGTCATTCACAGTCACTACTACGTCGCTCGAGTATCATACGGAAGACGTCGAGGAGGTTCGTCCTCGGGTTCGATGCACCCAGGTCACACCGGAAGCTACGACCGCGCGCAGTCGACACTGTGTACCGTCGCGAGCATGTTCGGATCGTTCCACGAGAGGGTCGTTATTTCTTTTTCAATGAAAATTCGTTCGGTGGTCACGGAAAAAGCCGAGGAAAATTCGAGCCGAGGATCCCCGAGCTTCTGTTCGTTCGAATGAAGCTGCTCGCGTCGGTCTGCACGGTTTACAATCGACAAGCTTGTCGAACATCCACTCTCGCTGAAGAATTCATAAACTGTGGCTCAACAATAATCGCACTTGAAGTTGGCAAATCCTCGTTGCCTTTACTAGAACCACTGTAAGTCTACACTACTCATTCTTAAAATCTTCTTTCACAATTATCACGAAGACAAGAAAGAGAAGTTACTAAAGAAACTGATTTAGTACAACAAACTTAATTTAACAGATATACTCTCAAAGTTCTCATAGATAAATGTCAAAAACTCTACTGTGGTTCTAGTATTAAAGTTCAGAAGTTTCTATATTGAACTGTGAACCCCACTTTACCACTGGAACCACTGTAAGTCAACATTACTCATTCTTCAAATCTTCTTTCACAATTATCACAAAAACAAGAAACGAGAAGTTACTAAAGAAATTGATTTAGTAACACATAAACTTAATTTAATAGATATACTCTCAAAGTCCTCATAGATAAATGTCAAAAACTCTACTGTGGTTCTAGCGTTGAAGTTCAGAGCTTTCTGCATGGAACGTTAAACAGATTTCCAGGCAAATATTCCAATACTCCAGTGCAACAAAGAATTCGACGCGAATGAGAATTCTCTGTTACTTCAGTCCATATAAAACGTCCATAGTCAGAACGAGAGGTTTCATTCGCTTTCCGTAAGTCAACGCGAAAAGAGACGAAGGTATTTGCATAAAAATCCACAGTCGACTCGTAACTTTCAATGTCCGACTTTAACCGTGAACCTGCGCACCTCGAGAGGTGAATACTCTCGGGTTCCTCGGCGGGACGTGTTAATTCGGCCAAGACAAACACCGTACCGGTTTCCGAGTGTCCCGATTTCCTAACCCATTGGCCAACTAACGAAATCGTTTCTAATTCGGGCACCGACGAGGCGGCCGGACGGTGCACATCCAGGAACGACGAAGTCACGCGGCGTTCTCGCGCGAACGCGCAACAGCGATCGTCGGTGAATCGTTCTCTACATTTTTTCCCCCATTCATTTTTTATCCTTTTTTCTTGCTCGAGAGTCTCGTAACGATGACAGGCAATCATTCTTCTCGGTAACAACGAGATCACGGTTGGCCGTTTCGAGGGCTGACGCATCGTCGGTCGAACAAAGGTTTCGCGTTCGCGAGCGGCGCAATTTCGGGGCCGTCCAGCGATTCCGTCTCTCTCCTTTTCTCTTTCGTGACGTGTTCAGTGAATAATGTGGACGTTGAGATCATGCGAATGAAACGGGGATGACATTTATTAGGTCTATTCGAAAGTTTTTGTCGCGGCCGCTTTCGACTGGCTCGCTGGCTTCTTTTTTACCGGAGCCATTTCGAGTGGTCTCCTTCGACTTCGTGTATAATAAACCACGAGCCAGGTAACACCTAGCTCCGAGATTTTTATGCATTTATGACACGCATATGCAACGTTTGACACTCTAAAAAGCTCGATAAAATTCACGAGGTAATTGCCTTTTTCCCGGTGATCCTCGTTGAATCAATGGGAACGCGAATCTGCATAATCATCCGCATGGTCACCGTTATCGTTCACGAATCTATGGTTCGGCCAACCGTCGCAGACAAATGCAAATGCGTGGAAGTCATGACGTAGCTGAACAATCGTTACTATGGCACGTTAGACGTGTTACTGAATAAATATAACGAGGGAACGTTTAACTACATCAAGATCGCGCAAACCTTCGCACAGACCTAACACAACATTTCAAGATGCTGTAAAAAATATGTACAAGTGCTCGGTAACCGGCTGCTCCGAATAATCGACGCTGAATACAAATGAAGGTCGGGTAAGGTTCGCTGGCTTCGTTGAACGCGCGTTCGCGTTCGTTGCGCGAGTGAATCTGGCGAGCTGTTTCGATTATTCGGAGCGGCGTACAACGTTTAGAAAAGAAAGGATCAACAGAAGACGGTAAGTATCATTTTCAATCAAGATTAACGCTCGCGAGAGGATCTACGTGACCATGCAAGCCTCCGTCGAGTCGCCTCGGGCGATCAATCACCTTCGAGCGACTCGCTTAGCCCGGGGCCCGGCGGTGTTCGTTTCATTTTTATTCGCATGATCAGCAGTCGACGCATTCAAGTACAAGGAACCCCATTAAATCGCATACACTCGGCGGAACAAATGTAACGACCTTACAAAGCGCTGAACGGGTCCTCGAATAAAGGACATCGCAAGGATCGCGAATGGGTCGATCCTTTCTTTCGATCTAGCGCCTCGAGTTGACTACTAACCCTGACAAAAAGCCTTCAGAATGAACCGAGTGTCTGCTATAAAAGAATTATTCACTTAGTGGAAACATGCAAAATATTTTCACGAATGAAGCAGGTAGAATAAAATAGTCCCCTTCACACGAGTAAGTTAATAAATTAATAAATGTTTCAATATTTTGCGGGGCTACTTATGTACATAGTTTTCCCAGTAATGTTCACATTCCATGCATTATCCTATGGATATTGTCTTTGCATATCGTCAGACGATCATGCGAGTAATTCTTTTAGCAATGACGTTATCGATTCTCGTTGAAAACATTCCGCCAGAGGTAGTGGCTCGCGAGAGAGGTAGAAGACTCAGGTCTGAGTTAACATTGCGGATTGAACGTCTCAGTGAAATTCATCAGAAGGTTATTGCATTTGTTCCACCCACTATATGATCGCTCAGCTCCACACGTACCCGTTGTGCGCACACGCACAGAGCCGACGAATGGACGGAGGGAGCCGAGACAGTGAAGGATCATTTCGAGGTCGACCCGGGATAATAGTATACGACCGCCGGTGCCGGAAGCTGCCAGTGGGCGGCGTGAAGTTCAATCAGTTGTAGAAGGGTCTTTCTAACCGACGGCAAGATCGTGTCCTCCGCGAGGAACGCGTCCCTCAAGCTTCCCAGCAGTTGCTGCAACTGGGCCGGCAGTTCAGTGTCCAGATCCTTACCGATGCACGTCATGATGAAGAACAGACAGTCCGTCTGTAAAACGAATAACAAAGAAAATTCAATGTCCATCTGTTCCTCCGGCGTTTTAAAATGAGAAAGACTTTGCAAGGTTAGAAAGGAATGACCTGTCGCGAGTAATCAGTCCTCTCCTGTGACATAACGTTAATGATTAATATTAATGATCAGCTGCAGGATTCTTCGCTGAATATAATCTGCATAAGTATTACGTCAGGAATAAATAAAGCAACAGTGCTCTCTCGGAGACCACGCTGACGACGTTTAGAGAGTTTCAGAATATTCGAACGGTTCCCTTTATGGGGACTCACCTCCGCTAGGGAATTGACGACGGGAGGCTGTAGACAATCCTGACAGCACTTCCAAAGCAACGTGAGGAGAACGCGTCCGGGAGGAACGCCCTCCTGTTGTGTCTTCAACTGAAGCTGCCTTCGCTTCAACTGTAACCGTGAACATGAATATGCATGAACGCGGATATGTCAACGGTTTCGACTGGTGTTCAAGTAAAAAAAGAAAACAAAAAAGTGATTGAATGGGCTGTGACTAAGCGGCGTTGCGGAACGTGATCGATCACGGGATCAATTGAGGATCGTGTAACGGTACCATCTATGATTCAGGTGACGTTAGACATCTGTGTGTCTGATCGATATAGTTCTTGCGCGTCGAACATTGCATCCGGTTGAACGTTCCCTACCTGACAGTACATTTCATTGAGGAACGTCATGAAGGCGGAGTAACGATGATAACTCGACCCATCGTAGAGTATCTTGACGCGATCCTGGTACCACTGTTGGCACGTGTTCAACAAGGACTCCAGGAACGTTTCCTTCGCTTCTTTCTGTAACAATTATTTTATAGTTACGTTTGATAGAAAACTGAATTTACAAGGTACGATAACTATCAGTAATTCTTTAATAGCAACCTCTATAATGGTGATACAAATCTTCGCCGCCGGTTCCGCGTACTTGCGATTCTCAACGACCCTCTCCAGGATGTGTCGCACCAGCTCCATCAATGCTCTTGCGTTTAACAGGTTTGGGTCTGTTTAACATGAATAAAATAGTTTATATCACAGATATAAATCCGATGCGCAGTTAACAGTTGTCAGGAGAAATTTGATCTACCATCGATAGCTCTCAAGAGAGTGTCCTGAACCGCTGGAGGAAATTTCCCTAATTCTGAGGCGTCTGAGATATTTACTGCCTTCGCAGCCAACACGTCAGCCGCGTTCAAGCTCTTCGATCGTTTCAGGCCATACGTGGACACGAAGGACAACGATTTGGTGAGCCTGCCGGGTTTACTTGGATTCGGTTTCACCTCGTTTTGTTCCACATTGAAATGGACCCTACCGGAACCCTGCAAAACCGGTGGAGAACAATTAACCCTGCACTTGAAAATTCTTTCGCTACATACATTCTTCATTCTCTAATGAAATATCAATGGTATGTTTTATAACTGACATTGATATAAATAATATAGAAATATCAATGGTGTCTTATAACTGACACTGACAAATAATACAGCAATCAAGGTACAGAACTATTCTATTTCAACGTTTCATGGATAATTACGTTAGACGAACTTTAATATTAAACATCAATTTTTGTAATTCTGCTGTATCAAACCAAATGGCTGAGTCAACAGTAAAGGATTAAGACCACTTTCACTTATAGAAAATAATCAAACTAATACAAGGATCTTGAGAAAAGAATGTAAAAGAGACTTCATAGAGTATCAGCTCGTTTCCCCATTATTCTCAATCTCTGCCTACATGTATGATATTGCCGCCCGACGCCGAAGTGTCAAGCGGGTGTGCCTGCTTCAGCGCCGAAGTGATTGAATGATGACTGCTCTGCGAGTGCCGGGACGTCTGATGATGCTGCTGCTGCTGCAGGGTATGCTGTATCTGTTGCTGCTGCTGGGCGTACAGGTACCGGTGCACGTTGCCGCTGGACTTGCTGTGTTGCAGGTAGTACGGGGACCGTTCCGAAGCGTTCGTCCGAGACCTACGCCAGGCACGTTCATTAAGAATGAATTACTGATACACGATGCGAGACGTGTGCTTAAGATTGCGTTCGTCCCTGGTGCCCAGTGAAACGTGGGAGACTCGTCGCGCTAATCGTTTGTTTAACTGACGCAACAGCTTTTAACGTTGAAAATTAAAGAGGATCGTTAAAGCGACGCGCTGACATAATCCCGCGCTGTCACTTCACGGCCCGATCCCGCTGATAATCTATAACGTTCGCATTGCGCAAGGTATTCGACGTGTCTCTGTTCGATGTTGCCTGTATTTGGTTCTCTACGTTCAAGGCGTACGTACGCATAAACAAATAGTCTTTGAAGATTAAACACTAGAACAAGACCTTAACATTAGAACTACCGCGCACTTACACTGACTTTTGAGAATTTCATTAGAAAAACTACAGACGGATTTATTCAGATTTGAATTGGTTCAAATTTCAGCTTAGGTATTAACACGTTTGACAGTAGAAATTTTAATAAGCCACACAAATAGGAAAAATGCAAATGCCGTACCCCAAGGGTTAAAGTGCATAATTTCAAAAAATTAAGGCTATAGAGAATTCAATTCATGACAATGTGGCTTATAAATTTCAATGTTATAATATTCATGCCATTTTGCATCACAATGAAAATGAATGCTGCAGCATTCACGTCTGCAACGTGTTAATAATTTCTGTGTTCGTACCTCTTCAGTAATCGCAGAAGAAAATATTAAAGAATGATTCATTTTGACCCATTTGTTAGCTCTAGTGTTAACGAATAACATTAAGTTTAGCAGACTTGTACGCTTCTCAGCTCTCGGGCGTTCCTCCAGCCGTTCCCGATACGTCGACAGAGTCTTGGTCGTTTCCTAAGTCGTTTATACTCACTTAGAAGGATGCGAGTCGTTCTGCTTCATAGTGAACTCCTTCGCGTGTACGTTCAATCGGGGATTAGTGACGTTTGCCGTGGCTCCTTCCGTTCTTCCGCCTAGAAAACATTCAACGTATACAATTCCATTTCTCTATGCCGTCAACAAACAAAGGGATAAAAAGGGGTATAACAAAATGCAAACCTGGAGGCCGGTAAATCACCAAAGAAGGCTTGCTCTTCAAGGGGGTTACGTTATTGTTATTATTGTTATGGTTGTTTCCTTTCTGCGGAACCGCATCCTTCATCTAAAACAGATTAACATCGTATGAATCGTTTCAATCATAAAACAAGCGCACCAACGACCATCTTCTGCTTTCCAATCTATTACCTAAAGTCATCAACCCATCCTCTAACCAAGACCAAAACCCATCGCTGCCAATTGCCACCCTAATCGAGGCCAATTCGATCCTAACAATCCTTTACAA